CCATTGGGTGACACTTTTGGTGAGGTGGACTGGCTTCCCAGCTGAGATTGATTTTGGATCCGCACTGTCAATGGTGAGAGTGTACTGATCAGAGAATCTGGGCAGTTTTGAAGATACCACCAAGCCAGTACTGGTGAATGATCCCTGCACATGATTTTTAATAGAGTAGCAAATGAGGAGCTAAACAAAACCTGTTTGGAATAGATAGGTCAAAACAACAAAAATGGTGGAGCTCTCTCTGTTGCATAGTCTAGACCTACCTAAGCAATGAGTACATAATGGAATGTTTGGAACAATCTCATCCTCTCGGATACATTCCACCGCATTACATTCCAGAATCATCCAATTAGTTGAACAATTATGTTTTGAGAAACAAGACAGCACCAATCTCAAACACCCAAAAGATACAAGAACTTCCACAGTCATATTGCCAAGACTTTAACTAATCAAACAAAACATCGAAATGGAAATTTAGCCTTTACTAAAGCTCTCAAAATGCCAAATACCAAGATACCCTAAGATATGCAAACTCTAGTTAACATTGTCAGGCTAGCAGAAGCACGATTCTAATTCCTTACGAAACAGAATTTGACACCGCAAAATTTAGTACAAGTTCAAAATAAGTGGAACGGAGGAAGTATGTAACATTATGCACCTAAATCACAGAGCTACAATGGTTGCATCATAGACAAAACAAAAATTTAGTCCAAAGCGCATACAAACGATCCAAGATTATTTCTCAACAGTGAGAGAACAAACCTCAGGAGGATAAGTGAACAAAATCGCATTCTTCTCCTTAGTGTACAGAATCAGCTGCAACACCCCATTCAACACTACATACGTACCATCGTCAAGAACCAACAAATCTCATTCAAAATTCTCCAAATCTAAAGACATGGCATTGAGCCCAAAGAAGTCAAGCCACATTACAGTAATCAATCTAAGCCATAAGAGTCTGAAACCTCGAAATCGAAATTTTTCGATTTTTCCATTGTAAAAAACTTCATCTTAGCCCTAGAAACCGTAATTCGAAGATTAAAAACTGACAAAAGAAAGGATATAATGCGATGCATCCAATCAAAAAGTCCTTGTTCTCAGGGAATTTCTTATTGTAGAACTGAGCAATAAGAGCAACAACGATAATCACCGTCCCTAAGATCAATTTAAGGTTGCTCAACCTCACATCCTCCTTGTAGCCACGGCTCGTAACGATCTACGCATCAAAAGGAAGAACAAAATTCCACAGATCAGAGAAATTTTGAGAAAGCGAATTTATATAAATCTGCGCCTTTGTTTTCGTCTTCCTTACATCGGAGACGGACTCGTCGAGGATATGCTTGAGCGAGTTGTGGTCCAATAGATTGGCCTTCTTAACATTCTTGTTCGTCGATTCTGCCTTCTTCTCTTCCATGGCGTTACAGATCGGATCCAGAAATTACCAGATCTCTAAGGTTTATGCGATGAAAATTATCGCAGAGTGTAGGAATTTCTCGAGCGCAAATACTATGAGAGACTGATGTTGGAAGAAGACGATTGCTGGACGAATATAAGGATTGGAGCTCGGAGACGTTTCAGTCAAAAGTCAAAACTGGTTGATTACGACGTCGTTTCAAGAATATATATTGGGCCTTCCTGGGCTTCAAAAGGATCGCACTTTATTTTGCATAGTTAATTTGTTTCTCTTTTGTAAAGTCAACTAAACTTTTAAAACTTTTTTTGTCAACTAATTAAACCCTTCTTATCAAGGTATTTAATTTCACCATATATTTGACTACTTTAACTTATATGCTGATTTTTTTTCTGTATTTATACAATTAGATTGGATCCATATATGTCGACATTGTTAGGGATAATTATTAGCGTTTTGCAGAGATTACGAGCAATTTTTGCAGTAGAATCATTGGTGTAGTAATCTGTCTACT